CCGATTCGCAAGAGGATCCGATTCGCAAATCTTTTGCGTAAGAGCCGACCGCACTATCCACTCTATCATCCACCGACCACGAACCCCTGGTTGGGAGTCGTTGAAGTAACTTCGGTACTACTTTTCTCCATGCACTTCCTTTTGACTTTATTTTGCTCTCTTTTCGATACATAGTGAAGGAACACCTCATAAACTATGCACTCTCAAAGTTACAGCTACAACAGAGCCCAATAAGACGGTTAAAATCGCCCTTTCTTGTCAAATTGTTTTCACTCAGTTTTTGACCTCCCCAGAAACGCATAGCAAAAATGAAACCCATTTTTGTAATCCTTGTATGGACCCCTACAACAAGCAACAAACCATTGCGCGCCGCGACCTGAAAGACCTCCCTTGTTAGTCCCGACATGAGTTCTCTTGGCCTTTTGCCCTACTATAGTTCAAGACTAGAGTGAGACTAGGAAAGGCCCATTCTATGCACTTGTCATCTGCAAACTTCCCTTCCACATCACCTATACTCCTCCCGTAGACCGTGCCTTCGAGAGAGTCTTCTCTTATCATTTGTGGGTCAACTAATAACTACGAGTTCATATTCGGACCTAAAAAGCCACTCATTGGGGTCTGGTGTCTTAAAAAGAAATGGTGGAATGTGATACTGAAAGCAATGTATCCCGTCCACAACTGGATCAAACATTGACGAAAGCCTTACAGATTGCTGATTACGTTTTTGTAATGACAATGACATTTGAACTGCTGGTGAAAATCGTCGCAAATGGCTTATTCTTCACACCGAAGGCTGTTGTCAGTGATGTCGGCGGCGTGATGACCATGTTCATATATTTCGTACGTTCATTTTTGAGTTCTGTCTTAGCTCTATTTCTCTCTCTCTCTCTCACTCTTCTCTCTCTCTCTCTCTCTCTCTCTCTCTCATCTACTTCTCTCTTGACTTACAAATACCTTGTGAATGCTGAGTCTTGCTGTAGTTACTATTACTGCAACCTCATGCGCACCTGTGTTGTGTTGACCGTTCGCAGTAGCCGAGCGTGTCCTCGAGCATGAGGCACTCATTTAAAAAAGTTTGAATCGGCTCCAATGCACTAAAGAAGCTGGGGAGAAATGTGGATTAAGTTTTACGAAGAATCTGCGCGTGAGAAGAAGAACCCACACACACTGTGGGCGGCGCAGGCGCCGAGGGGGGAGGGGAGGGGGGCTGCCGAATCAAGGTTTCATAACTCAATTTGCAGAGCATCCAGAGAGAAACGCACTCAGGAGAGAAACGGTACACTTATTTTATTGATCCTCATCATTGCTTCTTAATAGTCACCGTAGATGCAAAATATCGTGCCAGTGGCGGATATCGCTCTCGCTCCCACGCTTCCTCACTGCAAGGGCCTGGCATCGCCGCGCACTTCTTCTGCCGAGGTATTGGAATGAACAATGAATCCTGGCATATATGTCATTTGTGCACTAGATCAACACTCTAAACAGGGTATAAGTGAGGGAAGTAGTAGTGGAGTGGTAGTGGATATGGTAGGTTGTTATCCGTGGGCGCGCCCGATCAGTGGAACCGGGAATTCAAAGGATGATCGGGTGCCGACCCAACCAGACGACGAACTCATTGTTTGGGCAAAAATCGCATTCACTGGTCCACAACTTCTCATTCTTTCTCTGGTTTGCAACACATTGCACATCGCTTTCTGTCCTCCGTATTTCGTCATCTTTAAGCTTTATTTCAATGGACATTTTTTTTCGTCAGCCATTTTTGATTTCAACCAAGAACCACAAAGTGGCTATTTTAAGACTAGCGTAGCCTTTTTGATGTGGATGCCTCGTCATGTCGAGATCAACTCGTTCGCTCAACTTTTGATGATATTCCGTGCAATGAGACCTCTACGTGTATACACACTGGTTCCACACATACGACGGGTTGTTATGGAGTTTTTTCGTGGATTCAAAGAAATTTTATTGGTAATTTAAACTTGTCTCACCTTATTGCTAATATACCAGCCTTCATGTGGTCTGAAGCGGTCTAGTTGCTGCTACTGTGAAGCTGCCTGCACTCATACTTTGCGGCAGTGCCTACCAGCGACTAAAAGCGTCCACCACGTTCGAGGCGATGACATACTACGTGTCGACAGCGTCAGCGTAGGAAGCTGATAGATATCCTTTTAGGCGTCTTGCCACTGCGCCTTAATCCAAACAATCGGGGAGCGTCTGGGTGATAGCTGGTAGAGAAGGGGCAATAGGAGGTAGCAGATAGCTGGTAAAGTATGGAAGAAGAGGAGGGTAGCACCTGCTGGTAGTGAGTCTAGCACAATAGGAGGGTAGCGAACAGCTGGTACTCTCTTATCGCCCCATACTCTCCACCAGCAGTCTGCTGCTGGTCGCTGGTAGACGCTGGCAGACGCTAGATCGGTACCTAGACTTCCCTAGCCCTCGAGACGCTGCTGGTCGCTGGTGAACGCTACTGGTCTCTGGTGGACGCTGCCGAAAGTATGAACGCAGCTTAGAAGTGCAGGATCTGAGACGCGAAGAAGCTACACAAAACCAGCTCCCCGTTTGAAACGCTTGAAAATCTCCTCTGCTTCAATTTCAGGTCACCATACTCATGATTGTTGTAATGTTCGTCTTTGCAAGCTTCGGAGTGCAAATGGTTGGAGGCAAGCTGGCCGCCTGCAATGACCCAACTATCAAGTCCAGGGTGATCCTTTTGATTTTCTGATAAACCTGTTGCCGAAAATTGGTATTCGATATGTTTCAGGAAAATTGTACGGGAATATTTTGGCAAAAGATCTTTGTCACACGGCTTGAAGTTTTTGGAAAAGACGATGAAGGGATGCATCCGAAAATATTAGTACCACGTGTATGGTTCGTGGTTGTAGCATTTATCCGAAGCATTTCGCGGAGTATTCACCTTACAGGACGAACCCAAGGAATTTCAATTTTGATCACGTCGGCAACGCTATGCTTGCGCTGTTTGAGACACTGTCATACAAAGGTTGGAATGTGATCAGAGACATTTTATGGAGCCGGCAAGGGCCTGTGAGTTTTCTGGAACGTTAAAAGCGAGCGCTCATCACCTCGTTACTCCTTGATTACCGATTTGCAATACGACGCACATTTGTGGCCGCCTTTACGATTATTTCAAACACTTTCGTGAGTATATGTGGCAACGTGCATAGCAAAGACGGATTACTTTTCATTAGTGTCATACCGACTTGTTGGGAATGTTGCCAAAGGCAACAGCTCAGACGGCGTTTCCATGCTCCAGTAGTGAGCTATAGGATAAGATGAACCCCCGTTCGTTCAAGATGCACGTGGATGTTCTAGGTGGAACTGCTTATTGAAGGCCTGACGTTTCGACTAAATCGTCGTCCCAGCACAGGGCATCGTTGTATGAAACACATGGGGGTGGGGGTGGGGTCGCACTTGCCCGCTGGAGAGGAGGGGGTCGTATCTGATCGCTGTGGGGAGAGGGGGATGTGTGCCTTTGACAGAAATTTGCCGCGTTGGGAAAAAATTTTTCCCGGTTGTTGACTTTTCGTGTTCCCGCTAGTTGGTGGCGCTGCCGAAGTCTCATAGAACTACTATTTTCATTATCGGAAATAGAAATTCTTTCCCGACGACCACTCCTCCCCCCTCTTCCCTCTTGCTCGACGAAAAACTTTATGGTGAAAAACTGGAAAATGTAGGAAATTTTGGAAGAACTGGTAGTAGGTTGGTGGAACTTGTATGAGTGGTAGGTAGGTGTTGGGAAGACTGGAACGTACCGAGACCCACTTTCAGGTGGGGGGGGGGATCGTACCGACATATTCCTTCTGGGGGAGGGGGGGGGCGTACTGACACCACCATTTCACATATCACGATGCTGTACCCTACGTCGTCCTCAGAGGGCGAGTCCACCAGCGCATAAGTGGAACCACACCACTCAGACTTAGTTGTAGTTAGTTGTTCATTGGTAATATAATAACACGCGTTAGGATTCTCTTAACCGATTGCAGCCGCTCCGTGTAGTTGGCAACCACGACACCCACGAACAGCGTCAATCCAATCATACAACCAATGAAGACGTAAATATGAATGAAAACGACGGCCCACTGAAATCAGGAATGTCACAAAACACAACTGAATTCAATAGGAACTGTAAGTGTTCTGAAATACGAACACCAGCATATCGGAAGTCATCATAACCGTCGAGGGCCCCATAGAGCTGCGGTATGAGAACTCGACCACGGCAGTCATGTTTTTTTTTTTTGGAGTGGCAGAACACTTCTATATCATTTACAGCAAAACAACCATTCACGTGCCCAACTTAGTGGCCGCAATTCTTGTAAACCTCGACATTGTTATGGTCCTTGATATTGCTATTTTTCTACTGCGCCAACGAGGTCGGTAGGCCACCAGCGCATAAGTGGAACGACGCCACTCAGAATTAGTTTTTTAGTTAAATGTGGGGGAATACATCTTATCACTATAGTTTATTTCTGAAGCACGAGAGAGTCTGAGCTGTTGCTGTCGCCTCTCCAACTTTCCCAACAAGTCTGAAAGGCACTGATAAAAAAGGGCACTTCTTCGTCTGAGCGTTTTCACATACAGTCCTCATCATTGCAGACCGGTGGGGCGGGTGAGCCGCGCTGCGTGTGACTCGGCTGCGACGCGGCAGCGATGACAGCCGAGTCACACGCGGCGCGGCTCACCCGCCCCACCGGTCTGCAATGATGAGCACCA